CTCTGGTGGCCTCAGTTCTGTTCTCTCCTTTTGAAAGTTCAAGGAATTATTGTGATTGTTGTATCTTTCTTTCTTTTTTCATTTATTTGTTTATTTTTTTAACTCCCACTTGTGAGGGAGGATATCAGTATTTCTTTTTCTGTGCCTGGCTTATTTCACTTAACATAATTTTTTCCAGGTTCAACCATGTTTCTACAAATGGCAGAATTTCATTCTTTTTTATGGCAGAATAATATTCCATTGTGTATATATACCATGTTTTCCTTATCCAGTTGTACACTGATGGACATTTAGGTTGGTTTCAGCTCTTGGCTATTGTAAATAGAGCTGTCATAAACATGGGAGTGCAGGTATCCTTTTGACATGATGATTTCCATTCCTTTGGGTATATATTCAGCAGTGGGATTGCTGGATCGTATGGCAGTTCTATCTGTAGTTGTTTGAGAAACCTCCATACTTTTTTCCATAGTAGCTGCACTAATTTACAGTCCCACCAACGGTGTAGGAGGGTTTCACTTTCTCTGCCTCCTCGCCAGCATTTGTTATTCTCTGTCTTTTTGATAACACCCAGTCTAACTGGCATAAGATATCTCAGTGTGGTTTTGATTTGCACTTCCCTGATGCTGAGTGATGTTGAGCAATTTTTCATGGGTCTGTTGGCCATTTGTATATCTTCCTTTGAGAAATGCCTATTCAACTCCTTTGCCCATTTTTTAATTGGGTTACTTGGGGTTTTTTTTGTTTGTTTGTTTGTTTGTTTGTTTTACTGTTAGGTTGTTTGAGTTCCTTATATATTCTGGTTATCAATCCCTTGTCATATGTATAGTTTGCAAATATTTTCTCCCATTCTGTAGGTTGTGTTTTCACTCTGTTAATTGTTTTGCTGTGCTGTGTGTGTACAAAAGTCAAAACGAATATGAATAGTATCCTACCCATCATGTGAGAAAGGAAGGGATATAGGAAAGTGATAAAATTGTCTGTTCATTGTGCAAAAAAAAAAAAAAAAAACATAGAAAGGATAAACTAGAAACGGAAGAGAATGGTTACCTTCAGGGGGCAGGTGGAAAAGGGGTAGAAAGAAGGGAGGAATGGGAATAAAGTAGTAACAATGAGAAGAAAACAACACTTCTCCGAGTATCTTTTTTTATTAGCTCTAACTCTGGTAATGTTTCACATACCACCCAAAGTAAATAATTACTTTTTGTGGGTAGAACCCAAAATAGATACAAACAGTAAAAAATGAACCTAACTGTTACAAATTAATAATGTAACCACACTGAAGGGAATGGGAAAGAAAAAACTAACCTAAGTAGCTTTGAGAAACAGTATTTTGGCTGGATACTATAAGGCTAAAAATAACTCTGCTGTTCTCTCCTTAGTACAGGGGTGTGGGTTAGCAATTATACACTATTATATGTGTATATTAGGACTGAACAAATAGGTAAATGTTATATATAATTAGAGTCAGACTTTTGACTGAGAAACAAGTTATAAGTAAGGAAAATGGAGATGCTGGAATGAACTTTATTGAAATTGGAGGTTATTGGTATGTTAAAATTCATGGTTTTAATATATGTACAAATAGATACATATAGAAATATGTGTGTGTATATATGGATGGGTAAATATTCATATATTTACTAGCTTTGTGTGCTGAGAGGGCCTACAAGCAATGACATTCCATAGTCACAAGCACACACAGTGCCCATATCTCGTTTTCTAAACACCATTCTCCAGTGAAAGAAACCAGGGCTGCTTGGAGAAGCAGTTGATTCCAGTGTTGGGGCAGGACAAGATGAAGCAAGAACATTTTAGTGATGCTAGAAAATGAGGAAGTGCTCAGAAAAACGATAAGGGCATGTTAAAAGGACACAGAAATCAACCAAAAGGAACTCCGAATGGCCAAAGCTGGAGCAATTTGAGCACCAAAATAAAAAATGATAGTATTGGATTATGACCCATAGAATAAACTGAATACCTAGGAGTCCACAATGATATAAATAAATAATTGAATGAATAAATAAATGGAGGTGAAGACATAGCTATTCCCTACAGAAGAATTCTAATTAATAAATGTAGACGAATGAAGAAAATACTATATCACCATTAAGCAAACACCATAGCACTAATGGTTTCAGGCAAGATCCACCAATGCATGCTAAAATCAATGGGTAAGAGTTTGAGTAAAACCAGAATATTTTCATAATCTAAAAGTATTCTCCCCCTCCAAGATATTTAATAATTACAAAGAGAAAAACGGTAACTATACAGTGGGGAAACCTGACAGACACTAGCTTAACCAAGCAATCAAGGTAAACATCACCAGTAATAAGACTGGTTGACACGTACCCCCTGTATGATACACTGAGGAGACAACAGTAGTCCTGCGGTTTTCTTGCCAAAAAAATGCATAACCTCAGTCTAATCATGAGAAGACATCAGACCAACCCACAGTAAGAGACATTCTGCAAAATAATGACCAGTATTCATCAAAAATGTCAAGGTCAGGAAAGACAAGAAAAGACTGCAAACTGTGCAATGTGAAGTCCTGATCTGGATATTGGAACAGAAAAAATAACAGGAAGAGAAAAACTGGTAGAATACAAATAAGATCTGTGGTTTAACCAGTGGTATTGTACCAATGTTAATTTCCTGGTTATTAAATATTGAATGCTTTCTCCTAAAATCACAAACAAAGCAAGGATGTATAGTGTCTCTCTTTTGTTCCAGTCCAGGATATTGGAGTTCCTAGAGTGTGCAATAAGGCAAGAAAAATAAATAAAAAGCATTAAGATTGGAAAAGAAGAATAAAAACTGTATTTATGAACAACATGGTTGACCAAGTAGACAGTCCTACAAAAAAAATAAAAATAAAAAATAAGCAAACTTAGGTTACAGGATAAAGGACAATAAATAAAAATCTGTTTATTTTTTTATATAGTAGCAACAAACAATTGGAAAATATAAAACTTCTGCTCCTCACAAGACACCATTAAGAAAATGAAAAGTCAAGCCACAGACTGGGAAAAAATATTTATAATACTCTTGATAAAGGATTTATATTCCAAATATATAAGGAACTTTCACAACTTAATAAAAAGGACACAGCCAATTAAATATGTGCAAAAGACTCAAACAGGCAGTTCACAAAAGAAGATATATGAATGGACAGTAAACACACTCCACATCATTAGTCATCAGGGAAATGCAAATGAAAACCATAATGATGTAACATCTCACACCCACTGTAAGGAATAAACTTGAGACTGACAGTATCAAGTGTTGACAAGGATGTGGATCCACTAGAAATCTCAAACTTTGCGGTAGGACTGTAAAATGGCATAGCAACTTTGGAAATCAGTTTGGCATTTCTTAGAAAGCTAAACATATGATTGCTATATGACCCAATGATGTCATTTCTATGTAGAATGGGCAAAGCTAATCTAAGGTGAGAAATAATGATATTGATGGTTTCCAGGGGTGAAGACAAGGAATGGAGACAGAGACAGCAGAGGGGCCCAGGGGATGATGGCAATGTTTCATTTCCTGACTGCACTGGTGGTTATTGGATGTATATACCTTTTCAAAATTCATGGAACTGTACACTTAAAATGGATGTTCATTGTATGTAAATCATATGTTAATAAAGCTGCTCTTTAAAGTAAAAAAGAAATCCTCAGAGCTTATGTTTATTGAACACTTGCCTTTTTAAGTATTTTCCATATTCTGCATCATCTCACTGAACTCTCAAAAGCACTGTATTTGGTAGTACTTTATTTTCCCCATTTTTCAGCTGAGGGAACAGAGACATAGATCACAGTAACTATGAAAGAACCAGGATTTGAACCCAGGCCATGTGGCTGCAGAGCCTGTGCTCCTCACCACTGTGCTGCAGGGCTAGAGGAGCAGGTATCTCCCACTGACATTAATGAAATTCAGCCTGAGGACATGCTAACCAAGCCCTCTATTTGGAGCAGCCAAAATGAGTGAGTGAGGACCTGGGAAATGAGAGGGGAAACCAAAGGAGGAGGAGGCCTGGGTGGAAGAGCATTTCTCCAAGCCTAGAACCCTAACTACCTACATCAGAACCACCCGGTGCCTGATCCTTGCCTCAACCTAGACAGATCAAATCAGAATCTCCGGGTGGGCCTGAGAATCTGCGTTTTAAGAAGAAACTGCACCCCCTGCCCCAATGAGAACAGTAGAGACAGGTCTTGTCCAGAGGAAGGTCCACATGTCAGACCAGCCTGAGTATGACTCCTGACCCTTCCATACCCTTGCTCACATGTTCATGCCTCAACTTGCCCAGCTGCAAAATGGGCATCAGAATAGTACCAACCACAGAGGGTGGCCAGGAGGTGGAAGTGATTTGGGTGAGAGTTAGGGACAGCACCTGGCACAGAGGAAGTGCTCAGTAAACATTGCAATATAGAATAGTTTTTTTTGTTGTTGTTAATTAGGGCTTAGTTTGAAAAATTCTAAGTTTAATTCAAATGTATGCCAATACCTTCCAAAGTAAGGTAATATTCAAAGACAGTTGTTCAGATCGGATGGCTTAGAGAAATTTCGGGAATATTCACCTTTGAAGATTCATTATAAATCTAACCAGAAACTGCAACATTATTCTTTGTATGTTTTCCTTATATAGTGTTAACAAGCTTAGTTGCAAACAAAAGACTTAAGCTATTTGTTAAAAAGTAATAACAGGGCCAGCCCGGTGGCGCACTCAGTAGAGCGTGGCGCTTGGGAGCGCGGTGGCGCTCCCGCTGAGGGTTTGGATCCCATATGGAGACCGGTCCGCTCACTGGTTGAGCGCGGTGTGGGCGCAACACCGAGGGTTGCGATCCCGTTGCCGGTCGCGGTACGGGCGCGACACCAAGGGTTGCGACCCCGTTACCGGTCACGAAAAAAGACAAAAAGGAAAAAAAAAGAAGTAATAACAATAACGGAACGAGGCACTGGACTCCACCCAGTGGCTTTCTCTCTCTCCTTCCCTCCAGGCCCTGGCCTGGCCTTTATTGCCTACCCCAAGGCTGTCACCATGATGCCTCTCTCCCCGCTGTGGGCCACCTTGTTCTTCATGATGCTCATCTTCTTGGGCCTGGACAGCCAGGTAAGGGGCCAGAGGGAGGGGAGACCCAGGGCTGGGAGGGCTGTGAGGGCAGACACTGCCGTTGGGGGCAGCTCCCTAGGCCTAGCCACACCTCCTGACCCTGGCATGGGGCCCTGCCCACCACACCCGTGCTCTCCTCCCAGCAGCCGTCCCATTCAGTTCACCAGGTGGGCTCCATGGGCACCCACAAAGGCAGCTGCTTGGTGGCCCTCCAAGCCTTCCCTAACACTGTTTTCCTTACTGGGAATTCCCAACTCCTAGTTCAAGTTTTGAAAAATGTGCTAAACACTTCCATCGTGCTAAACTCCTGCCCCACGGCAGTGTCCCTGTCCCAGCAAATCGCTCAGGACACGGGAATGTAGAAAAGCACCTGTTCTTCCATCCTCCATTTCTGCTGGGGCCGCCACGACAGGCCCAGGCAGACACTTGGTTCTCAGCACACCACTGGCTCTGCTGCCCCCATGTCCCACTGCCTGCCCTGTCCTCATTGCTCTGACCTGCCCTGCACATGGCAGCCTGCGTTCCCAAGTGATGGGGTGTACTTAGAAGCAGCGATTTCCCCGTGGACTCAGTTTCCCTTTATCCCCATACAGTGCATGCGCACTTCCTTCCCTCCGCTCATGCTGCGCACTCTCCCCAGCCTCCCTCCCAAGCACACTGTTGGCCTCTCCCTGGTTTCCCAGCCTCAATCCTGTGGCCTCTGTTCACTCATCTGTCCCAGAGACCTATCCTTTACCCTGCTGCTCCCTCATGGCTGGTTTCTCGAAGAGCCCCAGAGAATTTCATCCTGCCAAAGCCTATGGCCACCATCAGACTGGGGTCTCATGGCGAGTCAGTGCTCTGGCAGGTGGGGGAGCTACAGGCACAAGAAGCCCGGTTTTAACAAGATGGCCCAGGCAAAGGCACAGGCTCCCCAAGCCTCCCTGGTGAAGTGCTGCCCCCCACACCCATGACCTTGTGTGAGTCACTTAGCGCCCAAGCTCCATGGCTGGTGTGTCTGTCAACGCAGCCAAGTCCAATTTCTTCTCTGAACGGTGTCCCAGAAACTGCTAAGCCGAGCTGCAGGCTGCCGAATCACCGGGTGTTTCTGCTGATAATCTTCCCTTTCATTGTTGCAGCAGAGGCTAGAGGGACTGTCGCTTGTGTGTGACAGGACAGCCTACCTGGCAGGGGGAGATAGGGCTGGGGTCAGCTCTGCGAGTCCCTGGAAGGAGCTGGAGGAGTGCTTGGGTGGGGTGCAGGGGGGAGGGTGGTGCAGAGGACCCCGCACTGCCCACCCCCATGCACGCTGCACTTGCTTTGTGCCTGGGCCATGTCCTCAGCTCATCATCACATTGTTTGTCCCCATTTTTCAGAAGAGAGGCTTAGAGATACTGAGGGACTTGCTGGGGCATGCACCCGGGTCTATCACCCTCTTAGTTCACATTTGCCGATGTCTGTCAGTTCAGTCCTGGATAAACAGCCTCCCTGAATCTCATCTCCTTCCTTTCCTGGAGAGCCTGGAGAAAGGATGCACATAGCCAGCCCCTGCTGTAGAGGCAGGGCAGCCTGGAGGCCAGCAGCCGGGGCTTTGGAGTCAGACAGGGATGGGTTTGAGTCCCAGTTCCACAACTCTTGCCAGCTGTGTGACTCTGGGATAGTCACTCCGCCTCTCTGTGCTTCATTCCCTCCGTCTGCACAATGAGGATGGAAATACCTTTCCTGAGGAGGTAGAATTGAATCAACAAGGATGTGGGGCCAAGAAATGGCTCCAGGGAGGTGGGAGGCCTCACAACATGGTGAGCAGTAGAAAAATCCTTCATTCCTCCTCCCTGCAGCACATGGTTAAAGCCCAGCCTCTGGAACAGGGTTGCCTGCTTCAAATCCTTGCTCTGCCACCTAGTACCTGTGTGACTTTGGGCATGTCACTTACCACCCTGTGCTTCTATGTCCTCACTTACCAAAGGCAGGGATAACAATGGTACGAATCACGCAGATTAATTAAATGAGTATATGTTAAATGCTTAGAACAGAGTCTGGCACATAGCAAGCACCATGTGTCTGCTGCTATCATTGCTCTTATTATTATTATTATTCATTTATCAGACATTTTCTGAGCATCTCATCTGTGTCAGGGTCCTTGCGCTAGGCACTAGAAATAGCTGAAAATGGTGTAGCCCCCGCCCTCCAGGATCTCACCTTCTTATGAGGAGACAGATATAATCAGGCGTGGGCCCCGCAGGTGAGGGGGTGTGCTCAGGGCACAGAGGAGAGAGAGGGGCTGTTCTGTGAGTGGGGGGAAGGAGGAGCAGTCTGGAAAAGGTTCATGCAGGAGGTCTTTCCCCAGTGCTGTGAGAACCAGAGGAAGAGGTGGTTGGATGTTGAGATATTTGGGCTGGGTATTGATGGGTGAGTAGGAGTTAAACTGATATACCGTGTGCCTGGCCCTGTGCTCAGCACACAGGATTCAGATGCTTAGTGGCTCAAACTCAGCCATCGATGCTGCCACAGTTTGACCAGGGCCTAAAGACTCATAGCAGAAACACAAGAGCTGGGTGTTGGCTCACCATTGATTGCTCCCTACCCAGCAAAAGGGTACTTGCCCAACAGAAGCAAAGGGCAGGGAACCATCATAGCCCTGAAGACCACAGAGACTGATGAGAGACTGCCACAAGCTGAGCACAACTCTCAGAACAGTTGCAGAGACTCCCATCTTGCCCCCAGGTCAAGGGCTGGGTCTCATTTAACTTGTTGACAGGCACATGACGGGTAGCATGGGGGAGAAGAAGGGCCTCTAGATTTGGAGTCTGGAGACCCCGGTTCAAGTCCTGACTCTGCTACTTCCTTGCCAAGTGACCTTGGGCAGGTTATCTCCCCTCTCTGAGCCTAGTGTCCTCATCTGTCAAATGGGCACACTGGAGTTCTGTTAGTACTGAAACTGTTGTTTTCAAGCTCTCCATCAGTGTGAGTGAGTATAGGAATGAAGGTAAGGACCAGTGGGAAGAAGGCCCAGGGTTTAGGCCTGCTGTGCTCACCCAGAGCCAGGGCCACCAGGAACGGCCTTTTTCTTGGGTTTCACACCATCATATCTCCCCCCGTCCAGTTTGTGTGCGTGGAAAGCCTCGTGACCGCCGTGGTGGACATGTACCCCAAGGTCTTCCGGAGGGGCTACCGGCGGGAGCTGCTCATCCTGGCCCTGTCAGTCATCTCCTACTTTCTGGGCCTCGTAATGTTAACAGAGGTGAGTGATGTGGTCAGTGCTGCAGAAGGGTGAAGTGCACGGGCTTTGGGTTAGGTGGGTCTGACATCTAATCCCAGCTCTGAAATTGAGTGGCTGTGTAGCCCTGGACAGGTCTACTTAGTACTTACGCTACCACTCAGTTTATTCCTCTAGCTAGGGGGTCATGGTGAGACTGAAATGAAAGTTCTCTTTAAGCCTTTAACACATGTCTTTTTTTTTTTTTTTTTTTTTTGACCAGTAAGGGGATCACAACCCTCCTCATGGCCAGTGAGCGCACCGGCCATCCCTATATAGGGTCTGAACCCGTGGCCTCCATGCTCCCAGTGCCGCACTCATCCGAGTGCGCCCCGGGGCCAACCCTAACACAGTGTCTTGATGTATAAATACTCAGCTAAAGGTATCTGCTGTTAACACGGAGGGGAATGAAGCTCACAAGGGAAATACTGGCTTTATCTGGTGATCATGAACACATGGATGCCTGGACCGTCCCTAAGAGTAACTTCTGTGTGAAGGGGATGGTGTTAGCTACTGGCCGCTGAACTATTTACCTGTCACTGTCTAAAGTTCAAAGCTGGCTTTTCTGGGCATCTCTGACAATAGGCACCTATGATGACATTTGGCACCTTCAGGCACTATGTGTTCCAGTCTCTGCCCTCTGTGCATGCCCTCTTCTCATTGTCCCTGCTGGGCCTGTGGGTGAGGAGGTGTTCTCCGTGAGCCCTGAATTAAGACTGTCCCTTAAAACCATGTTTCTCTCCCCTCCTGCAGCCATCCTGTCTAATAACTACTTTCTCAAGTATCTTAGGAAGGTGAGATTAGGTATCTTTCTCCCCACACCCATAATATTAATTAAAAAGTAAAAAGAAAAAAAATGGTTGCCTAGAGACAAGAAGAGGTTTTGTAAGAAACATGGAAAGAAAGGAGGGAACGCAGAATCAGTGAAAGCAGCCAATGTGACACTGAGGTCGGGCTAGAAAGCATTTGGGGTGATGCCAACTTGCTGAACCCACTCATCCTCCACTTCCCAGTGCAAATGCCACCTCCTCCTGGAAGCCCCTTCTGCTTGCTTCCCCCTTTCCAGCCCCCACCCCCGAGCACTTTGTTCCTGGCTGAGTTCGGCCTCTTCCCACTGTTAGGGTGGTCCATGGTCCACCTGGTCACCTGTGTGCCCACCAGCTGTGGAGTCCATGAGAACAGGGCCGGCCCTGGTTTGGCTTTATGCCCTCAGAGCCAACTCAGGGCCTGGCACAGGGCGGGCACTGAGTCATAGTGGTTGGTATTGTTACTGCTTCTAGTCATTGTCATGTTAATGAGAGTGATCATCAGCAATGAGCAAATGAGCAAATGAATGGGGCAGCGTTTCCTGGTTTCCACCTCACTCTCCCCACGCAGGGAAACCGGGCATAGCAGCAAGCAGGGCCTCATTAAGAGCTGATTAATTATGCAAAGTAGAGTCTTTTGTCACATACAAATTGGGGGGTTAACTTGATGTGTTAAAGAGGCTAACGGACAGGGTTGCAAGAAGAGCAAATGTTGACACGGGGTCACTGGCTTAGAGCAGGCAGGTGAGGGGGTTTGTGGACCACCTACCCCAGGTATCCCCTGCTCACTGAGTTTCCGATGCCCTGAGGCCTCGGATCTGCCCAAGGGGCACCTTGTGTCCCTCGGGGGCCATCAGGGAGCCAGCACCTCAGCCCCTGAGACCATTAATCAGCCTGGGTTCACACACCAACCTTCCACTTCCATGGAGAATATCTGTGAGCAATGGCACTGCCAAATGGGCCGTGTTGGCCTCAGCCTTCACGGTAATTGCTGGCAGGAACTTCTTCCTCATTTATACACATTCGAAGCTCAGTTCTAGGGAAAAAATAGGTCACAAATTTCTTATCTTCCCCCAAGTCATTGTGATGGGTGGTTAGAGTATGGGGTCTGTAGCTAGACTGCTTGGTTCAATCCTTAGTCCCTCGACTAGCTGGCTGGATGACCTGCAGCAGGTGTTGTCACTTCGTGCCTCAGTTTCCCCAGTTAAAGCAGAGCCTGGTACTTGATGGTTTCTTTGTTCTTTTTTTTTTTTTTTTCATGTATGGCGTTCATGGGATTAGAAGTGGTCTTAAGTTTTAACTCAGAAACCCCAGTACTGGTCACAGAGGTGCCTTAGGCCTGCTCCTGACCCTCACAGACTTGAGTATCCACTGTAGCCATCGCAGACAGGAGGCCCCAGACTAGACACGGCCCAGAGACTGTTATTTTACCCTCACTGTGTCTTTTAAAAACATGAAGAATTTGCCAACAATTAAAAGAAAGAAATTTTCCATGAAAATTTGGATTTCTGCTGTCTTCCAGAAAATCTGCAGATCTGTCCTCACAGCTGTGTCCCCCAGCAACTGTCAACCAGAGTCGTGTGGCCAAATGGGGCCTGTCCTCTCCGGTTAGCCACAGTCCCCACCACGCCCTGGTGTCACACTTGGCCCACTGTTCTCATTTGTGTCATGTGGCTGGCCCTGCAGGTGTTGAGATGTTATCCTGATCTAGTGGAAGGGATGAATGAGTAAACAAATAGTCCAGGGCATGTGGTCTGAGCATGATAGAAGGACGGACTATGGAAACACAGAGGGGAGGCTTAATCCAAGTAAGTCCCCCTGGCAGACACACAAGAGGCTGTCCAGGCTTCATTCTGGCCTCTTAACCTGCTGTCCTGGCATTCAGACCCCCCTGCCCCTTCCTAGCACTCTCTCTCTCTTTTATTTCCCATGCATTTGATTGTGCCCCCTAAGGACCTCATGATATTATGGAGACTTTCTCTACAGATCTCAACTTTTCCCACATCTACAGTGGTCCTCCCCTCCCCACCCAGATGCCTCCCATCCCTCCTGAAAACCTTCCTGGCTCACCTTGGCCAGCTGAGCTCACACACTTCCCAGGATTTCCACTGGCCTTAATCATCACAGATGTGTATATTACAGAGCTGGCCTGCAGTCATCCTTTCATCCCACAGAGACTGACTGTGCACCTATGGTGTGCCAAGCACTGGGTCAGAAACTGACGCACAGATCTGGACAAGCCAGTTGGAGTCCCTCTCCCAGGGTGCTCACACTCCGTACCATCCAATTGACATTTATCGGGGAACTACTGTGTGCCAGGTCCTGTGCAGAGGGCCAGAGACACAAAGAGGACCAGTGTGGGGCCCTTCCCAGCAGGAGCTCAGAGCTAACAGAGCAGCTGGCAGGGGGCCACTATTTTTAAAAAACTGGGAGTTCATAAAACATGCTATGGGGAGTTCCCAAAGAATGAGGCCGCCAGGCATGGCTTATTGGAGGAGGTAACAGTGACAATGATCTGAGCTTTGTAGGAATTGACCAAGTGAAAGGGAACAGCGTGTGCAAAGGTGCAGAGTCCTTTGGTCTGTCTAGGAGGGGGCATGTTGAGAATGGCTGGTGGGAAGGGGAGGTGAGGCCAGGGTGGAGGGCAGTGGCCTTGACCAGCAGGCCTAAGGGAGCCAAATGGTAACTTTAACTACAGAGTGGCATGGTTGGATTTGCACATTCAGAGAAAGATTCCCTGAAAACTGTCACATGGAAAGACTGGAGAGGGTGAGGCTGGAGGCAGGGAGGCCAGTCAGGAAGCTGTCACAGCCCTCCAGTGAGAGGGGCTGAAGCTGCTCGACCTGGAGTCTCTGATTTTCTGTGTAGTCTCTGGCTTGGGGAGCTGGGAAGTGAGGTGCTGAGACAAGACAAACCATCCAGAATCCCAGCAACCCCTGGAAGATGGCATCTTAGTGGGCATCCAGGTGCAGAGGGTGCGATGTCCAGCCTGGGGAGACTAGGGAGAAGCAGCTTGGCTGACAATAACCACAGAGCAGAGCAGAGGGGCCCTTCCCGAGGCCAGCTGGCTGACCCTGCCCTCCCGTGTGTCCATCTGTGTGTGTATCTGTCCTCCCACCCACAGGGAGGCATGTACATTTTCCAGCTCTTTGACTCCTACGCCGCCAGCGGGATGTGCCTTCTCTTCGTGGCCATCTTCGAGTGCATCTGCATTGGCTGGGTGTACGGTGAGTATAGGCCCAGCCTGTTCCCACCCAGCTGCCTGGGACGCTGGCACCTGGGACTGGAGTAGGCTCTGGTTTTCTGTGGCTTTTCGTCCCTGTTGGCCTCTTCCTCCATCTCTTCAGCGACTCCTTGGCCCCTTCCTACTGTTGGAAGACCTGCTTTTACACCCTGCAGCACAGGGTGGGAGTGGGAGGCTTGGGGCTCAGGCACTGTGACGTTGGGCCAGTCTTTCTGCCCCTGAGGCTCAGTCTCCCCCTCTGTAAAATGGAGTGGTTATCACCATGTCTGCAAGTTGGAGATCATGTAGGCAGCGCTGCCAGTGCGGGGCCTGGTCCTCAGTAGATGCCCACCTTCCTGTCCTCCTGTCCTCCTGTCTCCAGACCCAGCAAGTGGGTGAGGCTCGGTGGGCTCAGCACCGGGGGCTCCTGCCACAGTGTGGCCTGGGGCCAGATAAACTGCAGGCCACCCTGCTCTTCCTCAGCCCCTCGCCTTGCCTCTCCAAAGGGGTCGCCTTCCGCCTTCGTGCCAGAATCTCCTTATCGTGTCCTGGGCCTGACTGCCCAAGCTCAGCAGAGTTCTTCCTTCTCATCAGCAATCGGGAATCCCTCCTACGGCAGTTTATTCTGAAACCTCGCGCATGCAAGGTCTCGGTAGCTGTCTTAAGCAGTGAATAAGGTCCCTGCTGCAATTCTTCTGTCTCGGGTGGGGGAAAGCAAACACTACTCACCTTTCCTCTGAGTCTTGTACAGAAATTCTCTGTGGTGTGTGTGCCCATCTGATTTATTCCGGGCAGGAAGCAACCGGTTCTATGATAACATCGAAGACATGATTGGCTACCGGCCATTGTTGCTCATTAAGTGGTGCTGGAAGGTCGTGACCCCTGGGATCTGTGCGGTAAGGACCCCACTGGAAGCCACCTCCAACCCTGACCACCCACCCACCGACCTATCCTGATGTCCCCCTGGGTCTAAGCCACCTGACACTTGCAAAGCTGGGGTCACAGGCATAGGCTCTGAGCTTGGTGAGGGAGGCCTCACTTGGATCTCAGCTCTGCCACAGTTCGCTGTGTGACCATGAACAAGTCATTTACCTTCTCAGATTTTGTATGTGCAAACTGGGCACTGGGGTCTGCCTCCGTGGGGGCCAAGGGTTATGTGAGTGAGGACATGATGCTTGGTTGTGAACTGTGAAGGCAGCAGCACTAAGGGTGACATCGGGGCCCATGCTCGGCCCCTGAGACCAGACCACAGAGGGGCCTTTGTGAACCAACATTTAATAAAAATGCAGCCCTGTCGCCCTCTGTCCTAACACTGGAAGCATCTCAAAACATCTTCACAGACCATCATCGTTCTGAAAGGCAGCTTTGAGAACAGCCCTGAGAAGTAGCTGGGAGAAAAGAAAAATTTTTAACTGGGCTGAAGCTGGGGGAGAGGCTCCTGCGGGTGGGTAGGGAGGGTCTCACAGCCCTGGTGAGGCCCAGGGCACTGGAGTCTGGGACTCAGGGCCGCATTCCCTGTGTGTCTGATGCCTGGGGGACAGGCTTCCGGGACGGGCCTACGGTGGTTCTGCCTCAAGCTCATGGTGCCCCAGGGCAGGGTCTCACCTCTCATGGGGCTGTCAGATGGGGCCGATTCTCCCCCACTGGCCTCCTGCTTCTCCGAGCCTGAGCCTGGCTTGGTCCAGCAGGGCTGAAGGCCATCCCCCAGGGAGCCCTCTCCCTTCTCTCTGCAGGGCATCTTCATCTTCTTCCTGGTCAAGTACAAGCCACTCAAGTATAACAATGTTTACACCTACCCGGCCTGGGGCTATGGCATTGGCTGGCTCATGGCCTTGTCCTCCATGCTCTGCATCCCACTCTGGATCTTCATCAAGGTGTGGAAGACCGAGGGGACGCTGCCCGAGGTGAGACAGCCCTGGAGGAGGGGCCGAGGGAGATACTGGCCTGGCTCTGCCCCTAGAGGGCTGGGGAGCACGGGCAAGTCCCAGCACCTCTGCGGGTCTCAGCTTGCTCATCTGGACAATGGGCAGGATGAAAATGTGCCCACCTGTCTTGCAGGGAAGTTGTGGCCAGCTCCTCTCCAGCAGGTATCCATTGTTACTATTGTGCTGGAGGCATTTCTGTGAGGCTTCGGGGCTGAGCCAGTTTCTATGAGCTCAGCCTCAGTTTCCCTGCCTGTAAAATGGAATAACAGCAGTACCTAACTTACAGAGGTTGTGAGGACTCAGTGAGTTCATAAGAGGGAAAGCACTTAGACCAGGACCTGGCCCGGAGGGTACCCAAGTGTTAGCTGTTACTGTTCTGTTAATTCTATTCGTTCAGACGTTTGGGGAACACCTGTCATGTCATCACCACTGTGCCAGGCTCCTCTTCTTCTGTATCTCCAGTGGTCCTCAGAGCAAACGGGGGTAACAGGCATCATTTTCTGCCTTTAACAGGTGAGGGAAACTGAGGCTCAGAGAAATGAAGTCACTTGCCAAAGATCGCATAGCCAAAAGTTAGCAGACCAAATTTTTTAAACAATTTAAACAAAGTATGTTTTATCTATCATAAAATCCACCCATTTCAGGTGTACAATTAGATAATTTTATATAACTTTCTGTGTAGTGCAATCATCACCATAAATCAGTTTTAGAACATTTTTGTGACCTTAATAAGACCCATTATGCCCATTCACAGTTAAGCCCTGTTCCCATCCCCAGACAACCACCAATCTACTGTCTCTATGGATTTGCCTGTTCTGGACATTTCCTACCAGTGGATCCATATGGTATGTGGTCTCTGGTCAGCAGACTGGATTTTAACCCAAGTCCATCTGACTCCAGACCACCTGCTCTCCCCTCTCCCCGACCTGCTGGTGGCTCACATGGTCAGGTCAGCTCCTGCTTATTCATCAGACTGCAGAGACTGTTCTAAGCAGTTTACAAATACTAAGTCATTTAATTCTCGTAGCAATCCGTGAGGCGGAGACTCTCTTTGTCTCCACAGAGGAGGAAACTGAAGCACAGAGAAGTGAAGCAACTTGCCCAAGATCACACAGCTTCTGGGAGATGGAGCAGACACTCTGGAGTCTGAGGTCTTGTCCCCTGAGCTTTGCTGCCTCACCTTCCCCTGCTGGACTGGCTGCATTCCTTTGAGGGGACCCTGCCTCTGCCCCAGGGCCACACTCCAGGGATCATAGGAGTTGATCTTTGTCTCCCAGGCCAAGGCTAGAGGGAGATGGGAGTGGGGTGTGTGTGCAGAAGCCAGAATGCAAGTTCCAGCTCAGAGTTGGCTTCATCCAGCCCACCTGCCCGCCGAGGCGCCTGGATCCAGAAATAGCCTCGAATACAGCCCGCTCATGCCCCAAAACAAGTCAGGCTCCTCGGTGCCTGCAGGGAATGTCTGTCAAGGGCAGCCGGTTTGTCCTGATCCCGGGCAAAAGGGGAGCTGACCGGGGTCCTTAAAACCTCGAACACTGGAAATCCCCTGCCTGGACTTCCAGGTGGTCTTTTGGTATTCAGAAATGCCTGGTGTCTCCTGACAAATCCCCCAGAGATTATCTCAGGCCTGGGGAGGGGGTGGGGTGGGGAGGCTACTTTCCTAAGCTCCATCCATCTCCCTAAGCTCACATACTTGCCGACTCTGACGGCAGGGCATATTAGCAGATTCTGCAGAGGTGATCAGACTCGGTTTCCAGGCTTCCTTACCTAGAGAACTTGTGCCGGCTAGTTCACCTCCCTGAGCCTCAGTTCCCACAAAGGTGCCGCTGACGGGAAGGGACTGGAAGAGGAAATGGGGACAGCGGCACCTGCCTCAAAGAATTGCTCTGAGGATGGATCATAGCAGGAGAAGGTAATGCTAATGCTGTGCTAGGTCGAATAATCGGAGCCTCGTGACAACTCTAGAAGGCAGGTACCACTATTATTCCCTTTTACAGATGAGGAAACTGAGCCACAGAGAGGTTGCATGTTAGGTGGTGGAGCCTGGTCTGTGTCAGGAGCCTGGCACACAGAAGGTGCCTGTTAATCCTACCCAGACCATGTAGGTTCAGCCTCTTGGGCAGGGCAGGATCTGAAAAAGAAGACAGAACCTTGACCACAAGCAACTAGCCACCCACAAGTCTTTGCAGACTTCCTCAGGAAGGGGTTTATGCCCAGAAAGGGACTCCTAAATCCTGGCCCCAGTGTCTTCTCCCGTGGGGAGCCGGGGAGTACAGCTGTGGGTCAGGGGACCCCTCCAGTCTGAGAGGCAGGGCTGGGGCACCAGGAGCTTGCAGTTGGACTCTACATGACCTCTGCTGTCCCGCTGGTGCCCAGCCCAGTGGAGGCGCTTGGCAAGGCGGCCCGAGGCTGTAAGTGCTGGGATTACTGATCATGCTCTTCCTTTGAGTACAGCACATGAAGCGCATGGCACACTCTCCACATTCCCCTGGACGGTGGCAGCACAATGACATCCCCAGTGTGTGAAAGGCCCCTGTGTACCCAGAAATCATCCTATAAACAACACTAGCAGTTTCTTACCACCCGCCCACAGCAGCCACTCAAGGCAGGCCTGTTGTCCCATTTCACAGAAGGGAAAGTGCACCTCAGCACAGCTAGAGAGTGGCTGAGCAGCAATGCAGACTGCAGCTTCCAAGTCTCCACCAGAGGGAAGGGACAAGGCAGTTGGCCTGACTCCGGCCCTCGAGTCCCGGGCACCTGCCTCATGCCATCTCCTTGCTCCTCATCCTACGCCAGGAGTAGGGATATCCACTGTCCCATTTTCCAGAGGAGGAAACTGAGACCCAGGAAGGTCCACCCATCATCCAGGACAGAGCTATCAGTGGCTGAGCTGGGGCCTCACCCTCGGTCTGAGTCTGCAGTGCCGAGGCGTGCATCCCTGCAGAGGGGCCCAGCCAAGGCAGACCCCAGGACCCTGGCCACCCTCTCAGAACCCTTCTCCTCCTCTCCAACCATCTAGAAATTTCGGAAGTTGACAATCCCCAGTGCCGATCTGAAAATGCGGGGCAAGCTTGGGGCAGGCCCACGGACAGTGACAGTCAATGACTATGATGCCAAACTCAAGGGCGACGGCACCATCGCGACCATCACAGAGAAGGAGACGCACTTCTGAGCAACCGCCGGTCACCAGGGACGCCTCTCCTTCCCTTCCTTCCCACCTCCCGTGTATATAAATGAATTCCTGAAACGTGTACTTCACCTAACGGTAGGGGCTTGCTCATTTTGCACAGGATTTATTAACAAGTTAATTTTAAGGTTGGCCACTGTACACTGGTTTAAAGGCACATCCTCCTCCTCACCCCCAATTGTCGTGGACATAACCACTACAAAGAGATGACTGTACAGTGACTAGCAACGTCATCTTATCCTAGGATGGTTTTAATCAGTGTTTTCTAGGGGTCGGGAAGAAGTGTACAATATTGTAAAACTTTTATACTTGGGCTCTGGGGGAGGTGGGGTGGGGAGCCATGCTGTCCTCTGCCAGCCTTTTAACTGACCTTCCATGTCCCATGCTTATCCCTGACACTCCGCAGCCGCCCTCCTGCAGGCGTCAAGGCAGAGTTTTTTCTTCAGACCTTGCCTGTGGGTTTGCCGACAGCGAGGCCACATAGCAGACATGAAAAAGTCCCGCCAGACTCAGGACTCCTGGGTTGCAGGCCCCCCTGCCCTGATCCCACTAAGTGACCTTGGCACTCCCTTCCCTTCCCTGGGCCTCAGTTTCCCCATCTCCTAAATTGGGGGAGGGGTTGGATTGGATGATCTCTTGGGATTCTCTGTATGCCTTGCTGGCTTACAGACCTTCTGTTGATCTTGGCTTCTTCTGAAGACTTGCAGGCAATAATCTCTGCCCTCCTCACTGTACCCCCATCCCCACCTGCTTATTTAAAACCAAGTTTATCATGGAAACGATGTGGAGGTAGTTTGTGTTTTTTCCAGAACTCTAGTTTTATTTCGTCCGTGAGCAGCCCCCTTCTCTGGAGACCCACCAGTCCTCAGCCTCCATGGCAAGGGCTCCTCCCATCTGGTCTTCCTTAGTCTCCTGGTCGTCCACTGTCACCCTCAGTTCTGTCTCACTGTCCTCGTCCTGTCCTCAGCAGGGCTGGCTAGAGTTGCCATGGGGACTGGTTTTCTCCTCCAGCCTCCCATGGAGAGGAGTTTCCCTGGGGTCCAGAGCCTGCTTCCATCCTAAGGCCCCTTCTCCATTCCCAGACACCTCTTCTCCCTCTTGCTGTCCCCTGCCCTCCTCCCACCCCCACCTTCCTATCTCTCAGTTCCCTCCCCATCCTTCCTGTCCCTGGCAGATCCTGTGTGCAGGCTTCCTCTCTTCCCTTTGGGAACCATTGCACCTGCCTCTGTCACCAGGGGCTGAGAAGCCTCAGCTCTTCCTGTGGGGACAACTGGGCAGCCTGCAGCTCTGCCCTTTGTGTGGACCTGGAGTCTGCGGGGAGGCCGACGCTGCCCCACACCCACCCCGGCCTGGCTTCAGACCTCTCTAGCTGATCTCTCTCTTCTGTTTTAATAGGATTTTACATCAAGCCTCTGCCTTAGTTTCTGAGCTATTTGGGGGGAGGGAAGGTAAATTCTTTTTCATTTTTCTTTAGTTTCCCAATTTTATTTGGTGGAGATACATGCTTTCTCTGAACCAAGGCTTTAGTTCCTGTAGGGGACCTATGTGTTCGATTTACCCAAAAGTTTCCAAGCTCCCAGCTTCTCTGCTGTGGCCAGCCCCCATGTGAAGCTTGAGTTTGCCAAGAGGGATGCCCAGCACCTCCCTGGGCTGGTCGGGATGCCTGGTGCAGGGCCCCCTCGCTGCTCAGAGCCCAGGCCTGCCCGGCTTCTCATGAACAGGCCACCGCCCTCCTCTCGGGAAGTCCTGCGTCTCCCTGAGCCATCTGGCCCGGCGGACCCAGGAAGATCCAGGCCTGGGCTGAGCCCCCTGCTTGTGTTCGCCCTGGACCGCACTCCTCGCAGCAGGCCCCGGGGAGGGAGGCTTCCCACGCTGCTGCTATGGTCCTGCACCACCAACTGTCTCGTGGGTGCACAACCTTCACGGTCTGTTGCTACCACGCACTGTACACGTGGCACTTGACTCGCTTAACACTACTCATGGGGCAAGGCGGAGGTAGGATTGTTATTTTCTGTTTTTTGTAATTTCCTACTAGTATTTGGATAACTTTGGGGGGTGGGGAGGGCAGCATGGGGCCGGGGAGGACATGTCATCATGATGACATTTTTGATATTCATTAGAAACAATACATCCTTTCTGAGATATTTACAGTATTATTAAAAAATGAAAAAGGTTGTACTGTTTTGCATAATGAACGTTTTTATCGGGCATTCAAAGGGCACAAGATTGTCTGCTTACTCATTTTTAAAAATTAAAGAAACAAACAAACAATTGTGTGGTTGTTCCCAGCAGGGTGGTGTTTCGGGGAGGGTTTCTTCCTGTTTTTTTAATCCCTTCATGATATGCCTGCAAAACCATCTTGGTTCCTTATTTGGAGGTTGCAGTCTCAACACAGTGTTAGAAACTAGAAGCAGATAAAAACAGTGGTGTTTTAAGAGCCCACGCTTCCTCTTGTCCAGGTATTCACTATCCATGTAGTATGTGCCAGGCGCTTTACGAAAGTCACCTCTTTAATCCTGACAACAACTCTGTGAAGGAGGCACTTCTCCACTTTATTTATTTATTACTTTCCCTCCTTTATAGATAGGGGAAATTGAGACACAGAGGAGTCAAGCAGTTTGCCCACAGTTACACAGCCAGTAAACAGCAGGACCAGAAAGAGAACTCAGGTTTGTCTGACCCCAGAGCCCTGTTTCTTAATCACTGGCCTTCCTGCATTCATGCTGTGAGGCCCAAAGAAAGCAGCGGTAGTCACAGTGGCAGCAACAACTGTCAGAAAGCTCACATCTGAGGCAGGTAAAGTGGAGCAGAAAGAGGTGAGGGTTTGGAGTGTGCAGCTTTGGTTTAGGCTCCAGCATCTGCCCTTGCCAGCCTCAGTTTCCTCATCTCTAAAATGGGGATAATTTCTCCTGTTTCAAACGCATGGTGATGATGAGGACCCCATGAGCTCTGAGTATGAGTGCTAAAGCTCTGTATTTACACTGGTCATCATTATCCTGAATGAATAGTGCCTAAGCTTGGAAAGTATTGGGGATATTGCTCAGAATTTGATCTCTAAATTTGTGTCTGAGATTTCCAAACACCCACTTGAAACCACAGACTGTGTTTTGTTCCACCAGCCCATGGTACAGTAAGATCTGTCATGGCCTCTTACCCTCTCTGAGGTGATAATGCCTGCTCACAGGGAAAGCATCCCACAGAGTTCTAGAATTTAGAAAATGTCTTTGATCCACAGAGGGCCCCTGAGTACTTCATAGCTTCAGAGAGCCACAGGGACTGATGCAGTCACCTGCCCCTGCCAGTGCCTGTCCTTGTGTCTGAAAGTGCATTGCCTTATGCAGCTCAGCAGCAAGACAAGAGGCTGGGTCACAGAAATGTGGGTTTCACTTATTCCCAGGAAACCTAATTTGCAGACCTTTGAGCCTACAGAATTGGTAACATGAAGGCATTAATTTGCCCAGTAGACCCTGCAGGCTGCAGTGTGTGCTTAGTGACTCCTGCTGGCCAAGTATGACTCTGCAGCCTAGCCCTACTAGACACTACCAAAAAAAAAAAGAAGGGGAGGGGAGCTTTGGAAGTATGTTAAGGGCTACCTCAGGCCTAAGAGGTTTCCTGTGGTATGATGGAGGGTATCAGGCACCAAAGAGCAGGCACTTCTTGCTGAGAACTGCATACTTTGGAAAATTGGGTCCTTTCATGCACTCAGCAGGTCTTTACTGAAGGTTCCATGTTCCGTGCCTGAACTTAGGACTAGGGATATTGAGACAAGTGGAACAGCCCCTTCTGTTGAGTGTTTCTGCTCTTCTCAATCAAGGGGAAAAGTGTTCACACCCCTCTGGACAGAGGCAAGTTCATGGGGAGAATCTGTTCTGCCTTCCTGCTCCCAGCCTTCTCCAAACAGTTTGAGTTCTGCAGTGTGGCACTGAGCAAGTCTATCCACTTCTCTGAGCCTCACCTTAGCCATCAGTAGGATAGTGAAGAAGTGGGAGAAAAAGAGAGCATAGCTGGCCCAAGATTCCCTAGAACTCTGTATGCCCATTGCATAATCAGTTCCCTGCACCATCTCAAAAAGCAAATGAACTTGGGTACCTCATTACCCGTTAGGGAGAAAAGTCAGTCTTTGTTGCCAATTCTGGCAACTTCTCTGCCTCTCTCACTTTTAAATAAGGTACACTTGGGGGGTGGGGGTTCTGGGAGGAGTAGCACATGTACCTCTCTCCAAGCTTCCAGGCTAGCTGAAGTGTCAGAATCACTCCACAAGAAACTACAGGGCAGAATGTGCCAAGGACCAAGTGCTCAGGGAATGCCCAGAACAGGAATAAGCTGCACTGTGTATTGAGCACTTACTGAGTTCTGGGTGTCATGCCCACTTTACCTCATCAGAGCCTCACAAGTCTAAAAGGTAAGTGTTATTCCATTTTTCATATGAGGACTCTAAAGCTCAAGAACTGTAAATAATTTGCCCAAAGAGATACCAGATATACCTCTTGGCAGGTAGAGGAACTGGGCTTGAATCAAGGTTTGCTGGGTCTAAATAGAGCCTATGTACCCAGCCACTTAACCAAGGATGTGGGACTCAAGCTGTATCTTGAAGGATGCAAGGAATTAGGTCAGAGAACAGCCTGAGCAATGATAGAAACAGAAAGATGTCTTGTGGGAGTGTGTTAGAAAACAGTCTTCCTCCTCCCTTACCTACTTTTTCTAATCCCTCATGCAACTTCACGTGCTATGAGGCTGGGGTGACCCCTCCCCAGTCTCTCTGACAGAGGAAGGGAGTCAGGTAACACCATGCTCATCAGAGATGGCACCTGGTGCAAGTCTCTTCAAGGAGCAGAGGCTTGAATGAGTTCCCAGCTTGCCCCAGAGTGGGTAGCCATGGGAAAGACAATAAATAGGCGTTGAAGACCTACTCAGTGCTGGAAACCATACCAGGCCCTTTCATGTGTGTTACCGTCCTCTCAGTTACCTTGTGGGTTGGTGTGGTATTCACATTCTACCAATGAGGGAATAGGCTCAGAGAGGAAAGTCAGCCACTGGAGGTCACAGAGCTGGAAAGTGGCAGGACTGGGGTAACAGTCCCAGGTGTGTCTGGCCGCAAGGCCCATGTTTTTCCCATGGACCACCTGTATCAAGGTTCTCCAGAGAAACAACCAATAGGATATAGATATATAAAGAGATTTATCATAAGGAATTAGCTCATGTGATTATGGAGGCTGAGAAGTCCCATGATCTGCCTTCTGCAAGCTGGAGGCCCAGGAAAGCCAGAGATGTAGTTTCAGTCCAAGCCCAACGGCCTGAGAACTGATGTCCAATGGAAGGAGAAGATGGATGTCCCAGCTCAAGCAGAGAGAGAGTGAATTTGCTCTTTCTCTGCCTGTTTGATTTACTACTCACAAGGTAGTTGAGGGGGAGGTAACACATGAAAGGGCTCTCAAAGGATTGGGTGATGCCCACCCACATTTATGAGGGTGGTCTTTACTCAGCCTACTGATTCAAATGCTTATGTCTTCCAGAAACACCCTTTCAGACATACCCAGAGACAATGTTTTACCATCTTTCTGGGCATCCCATAGCCCAATCAAGATGTCACATAAAATGAACCATCACATCACCTTTGGAAGCTGCTGAGAATCACCACAGCCATCAGCATTGATGGTCATTCAAGGCCATGGAGAATCTTCGGATAGTAATGGAGGCCATGTGGGGGAGGCCCGAGGGTCTTCAGGGGCATTGAAATGCCTTTGGTGACACTGGAGGCCTCTGGAAGCCTCCATAGTTTCCCAGAAATGATAGAAGTCCACTGGGGCGGTTCACTGAGTGGGACAAGAGGATGTTTGGGACCAGTGAGAAGCATTGAGAGTGGAAGGGACCACCAATGCCCCTGGAGACCTGAAAACTGTTGGAAGGTCCTGGGGATGCAGTAGAACTATGTGGGACCATCAAGAGTGATGGAGCCATTTGGTGGTGTGAGGGGTTGAGAGTGGCAGGAGGGTATGAGAGTTATAGGGGGCTATCGAGGAAAATGGAAGATCGTTGAGGAGCATTTAAGACTTAGGGCCATCAGGGCTGTAAAACACATGAGGGCCCTTGGTCATTATTGGGGGGCATTATGGCCACCCAGCCTTCCTGAGGTCACCTTTTGAGAACTCTGCCTCTGTAGAGCACCCTGCAGGGTGCAGGAAAGGAGAGGAGGGAAAGTGGAAGCAGAGACCGAGGAGCTGAAGTATCTGTGAATGAAGAGGTCAGGTTCCCACTGGCAGTGATGGACAGGCCCAGCCAGAGCTGCAAACCTCAGGATGCTGCAGGTGGCTCAAGCATGGGCCAAGGACTCCATGACCTTGACCTTCCTAGGCTGGTGCAGGCCCAGCTTTTCTGGAGATCCCTCACCTGGGTTTGGCCAACACTCAGCTTTTCTTATTCTCCTGGGAATTTTCTCTGCCCTTCTTTTGAGTGTCTTTCCAAGCCAACCATTTTTGGAGTGATGAGGCTCTTGTAGCCCAATCTGAGCAGAAATTTGGGCCCCACCAGTGGTGGGAGATTTAGGGGAAGCCTAACAAGGGAACCTGGGCCTGATCTGTGGGAGCCCCTGGTCAGATGGAGGACAGAAGAGACAGAGGAAACTAGAGTGAAAACAAGTATTATTTATTGGTCCCCAATTGAGAATTGAGCACCTACCATGCACCTGGGATAAGGTCAGGTATTTTTCATAAGCCTCAAAACAACCACTGCAACTGTGATTTATTCCCATTTTACAAATGTACAAACAGGCTCAGAGAGATAGGTAGAAGAACTTGCCCAGTGTCACATGACTGAGCTGGAATTCAAAACCAAGCAGTTTTTTTCCTTATACCAGGCAACTATTGGCTTGGTCTGGGTCTCTAGCAGGGAAGAATGAGCCCCTGGCCTCTCTCCCCTTTATCACTGTCCTTCCAGCCAGAGTCCTGGACTCAGGCAGGCAGGTAGGTAGGTGGCAGATCCTGTCTCTGGTGGCAGCAAATCAACCACCAGGTGGCAGTGCTGCTAAACCCAAGCCCCCTCCCTGTGTGTGCTCCAGGCTCCGGCCAGTGAGGTCAGAACTGGAGCTTGAACCGGTCCTTGAGAATACAGGGTCCGAAGGTCCCACCCAAAGTGCCCAGATGAGAGACAGAAAGGCTGCCCTTGACAAAAGGGTGTAATTCATCCTCTCACCTCACCCATCCCTACCTTGTGTTTGCAGCACGACCCCAACAGCCAGGCACATCCCTGTTAAGTTCCTAACTCTCCCACTCCCC